GGAATGCAGAGAAATCAGCTTGTTCACAGGCAACAGCACACAAAAGCTGGCCTACAATAATAGCTCAGACGGGAGATGATTTCTGAACATTTTGCTCCTGTACATTGGGTCAAAAAACATAGCACTGAGGATTTATGGCAGCGGGGAATAAGAGCTGGGGTTAGACATAGAATACCTTCTTTTTTCAGCTTCCTTCTCCCTTAGAAAACAAATCCAACCTTCACATAGACTCTGCTAATGAAGCATGAAATACTTGCAGAGCTGATGGCACGGTGCAGAGCAAGGAGTTTTAGTCAGGTGGTAACTGAGCGCATTTAGAAGACAATGGATTTACAAGGTATATGGCATGATAACAATTTCATCAACTAAAAGGATGCCATAGCCTGAAAGCTGATTCCAATGCAACTCCTCTGCTAAATTCTGCAGAGAGGAAACTGCGTGGGATGCTGAAGTGAAGGGGGAATCCCTGTTATTTTGGAAGTGAGAGAGCTGAAAGACAGCGATGCCTGTAGGAGTACAAGATTCTCCAAATGAAAGCAGGCAAAACCTGGATTTTTTTGAAGGATGCAGCTCTGATCTTCGTGTGTGTTTTGGCCTGGGAGCAAGGGAAAGAGAACCTGGATTCTAACGCTTGAGAAAGGCGTTGGCTGAGCAGAGTGTCAGCTCCACCCGCAGGGGCAGGAGGGCAGTGCAACAGGGAACAGAGGGGATTTTGCTTTTTGGAGGGAAACAGGGAAAATCACATCACTGCGTTTTCTTTCTGATCAGTGGGTAGTCACACTATTTCTTCTGAGTGTTTAGAAGACATGTTATTTCGTTCTCTCAGTTGTTGCTTTCCTCTGTGCTGATTTTTAAAGGCACCTCTCAAGAACAACTTTGTTTTTCCTTTTTTTTTTTTTTTTTTTTTGCTGTAGAGGATGGACCCTGCTCAGGATACCTGGAACCAAAGTAATGGAGGTGAGGTCAAATCTTGCCACTCAATTATCACTAGAATGGAGTTGAGTTCAGCAGAGTAGGATCATGCCTGAATATCAATTTTCCGCTTTGATTTCAAGACATGGGTTGTTGATCACTACGTCTATACATCTTCGCCACGACTGCAAAGTGTCAGTGAGGTACTTCAGATTATTTGCCTGTAAACAAGATTCATTTTTGGCAGTTTATTCTTGCCTTCTCTTTATTCTCCACCTGAAGCTGTCATCCTCAGCAGAAAGCACTGGTGCACTTCTCTTCAGGGCTCACTGACGGAGGGAAAGGACAGCAACTGATAATGCTGCCTAGAAACAGATCTGGCTCTAGAGTAAAAAGCCTGGTTTTGAGCTTGTCCTGGTGTATCTGTAATTCCCACCTGTGCAAGAGCAGAACAAGGCCAGGCATTTTCAGTTCCCCATGGCAAGCCAGTAGCAACATAACAAGCTCTGCCTCATCTCTGTCTCGATGCACCCGGCTCCTTGTGGGCAGCAGGCAGGACACGGTGACGGCACTAGACAGACCATGGACTGTTATGAATTCAGTGAACAGCCTTGGGGCTTCATGCTGAAATAGATTTGGAAAAAGGAGAGGAAAGGCTTAGGAATAACTCACAAATAAAACATATCCCAAAAATCTTGTGTGTATTGGTGGTATTTTAACTTGGCTCATTGCAAGTGGTTTGGATGGTGAAAGAATAAGTCACTCCTACTTTCTCTTGTTCTTTTCCACTTTCTGGTTTCCCAAGCAACACTGAGCCTCTAGTTTGTTTGTCTTCTCAATTAAAGGTGAACAAAGAGTCAGGATTTAATTTGGGATACAGTTTTGTACATTTTAAACCCTTTTTTTTTTTTTTTTACTTATTATGAGTCTAGCTAACTATGTTTTGAATTAGTCTCCAGAGATTCAATGGTTCATTTTTAATAGAGGTGACTGAACAGGTTTTGGCTTGATTTGCTGTTGGTAAATAGTTTCTTCACCAAAATGAAAATACTTATCCTGCTCTAAATACTTTTTTCCAGATGTTAACCAGAATGCCTTCCTCGGTTTCTTTTCCCATTTTTGTCCAGAGAAAACAGCTATAATGCTCTAGACAGCTCTAGCATATCAGATATGAATGAAAAGAGTATTTCTTATGCAATTACATGTTTCTGGCATTTTTTGGTGTTGATTAGATATTACGATGCTAATGTACCGTTTGTCAGTGTATATTTCTACATGGCAACACACTATGAAAGAGAATGTTTTTCCTTCTCTCAAGCACTGAAAGTGCACTGAGATTTCCAAGTTGGTTTTTTTACTGAGAACTAAGTAGTATCTATTGGGATCTCTAGCTGTAAATGCTGTTTAAACACCCAGCTGGTATTTATGATTATTTTATTGCTGCCTTATGGCCAGGAGATGCTAAACAAACTGTGTCAAACTTTCTTCTTCCTTTTCTTCCTTGACCCAATTTTTTTTCAAAGCTTCCTTCAATCATTAATCCAGGGTAAGGTCAAGACATTTGCAGAAAGAGCTGTAGAATTTGGGGTTGTCTGTTTTCAAGCTCAGAATTTGTTTGACCAAATCTCTAATTGCTTTGGTTAGAATCTTGCCCCATGGATTGTTCTTTTGCCACCCTTTGCTAGGTGACTAACAGCAGTCGTTCATCACTGTGCTCCAGACAATTTCAGCAGATGAATTCAGTTTTACTTCCCCCCCATCACCCACCATGGTCAACATATCTCTGCAAGATGTTCTGCCCTGACATGCTTTTAGTCAGGCTAATCCTTGTCTTTCAAGGCTGTCAACATGTCCTTGCTACCTCAAGCCTCCCAAGTTTTGAGAGTTCAAACCCATCCCTTGGTTACCACTCAACCCTGAAAGTGCCCCAAGTCTCCATGTGCTGAAAAGTCTGGAAAGGAGTTGGCTACTAACTCACATAAAACCCTTTCTAGGGTTATGTGGGAGTCTGCAGCGTTTCTCAGTGGGTCTGAAAGGCGTCTGGAGATGCTGAACACACACTGATGGTACCAGCCAGGGCTGAATCTGCCTTTTATGCCAGGAAGTAGAGACTGGGCTCTGAAACTGGGGACTGCCTCTGAGGTTCTCACTGAGAGGAGCTGAACATGTCTACCATGTTTGAACCTACCTGATTACCACAGAGAGGTGCTTTCTACTGCTGGAGTCACTCTGTTGGCATGAAATGATCACACTCTGCTGATTTAGGAGGGCTGAAGGTCACTCGTGTCACTCTCATGTCACTGGCAGGCAAATGGTGGGTTCCCAATGGAAAGCCTGAGCTGGACATTGCTGTAGGTATCCAAGGCTCATGCTGCTGCTCCTTGGCTTTTGGGCAGCTTCTCTACCAACTCTTCCAAGCTGTGGGCAATTCAGCCATAACCCCAGAGGGCTGGGACACCCCACCAACTGCCCATGTTTATACCGGGGGGTATAAACCCCTGTGTGTTTTATTCAAAGACCCAAGCACACACGCTCTATGTGTGGGCACACAGAATCATAGAATATCCTGAATTGGAAGGGACTCACAAGGATCATCAAAATTCAACTCCTGGCCCTGCATGGGACACCCCAAGAATCACACCACGTGCCTCAGAGAATTGTTCAAATGCTTTTTGAACTCTGTCAGGCTTGGTGCTGTAACTGCTTCCCTGAGGAGCCTGTTCCAGTGCTCAGCTCCTGCTGGGTGAAGACCCTTTTCCTTATATCCAAAGTAAACCTCCCCTGATACAGCTTTATGCCATTCCCTCAGGTCCTGTCCCTGGTCACCAGAGAGCAGAGACCAGAGCCTGCTCCTTCATTTCCCCTGATAAGGGGGTTGTAGACTCCTGTGAGGTCTCTCCTCAGTCTCCTCTTCTCCAGGCTGAACAAGCCAAATGACCTCAACCACTCCTCGTATGGCTTCCCCTCTAGACTCTTCACCATCTCCATAGTCCTCCTTCGGACACTCTCCAATAGCTTTATATCTGTCTTATGTTGTGTTGCCCGAACTGCACACAGGACTGGAGGTGAGGCCGCAGCAGCGCAGAGTGAGACAATGATCTCCTTCGGCCGGCCGGTGATGCTGAACGCATGCTGATACAAAGCTGCTGCTTTGGGAACGGCGCTGCTGGCTGGGGTACGCTCTGCTTTTGGGTTTGCTGAACACACCTCTCCCCACCCCGAGTTTCCTACGTTCTCAAAAAAAAAAAAATAATCTTAATCCAACATTTCTGCGCGTACTTCGCAGAGGATGTACTTTGTGCAGAATGCACTTTGACTGGCACGGTGATCCCGGCTCCGGGGCTCCTTGGCTTGACCCCGGGGGACCCCCAGACACGGAGCGCTCGGGGGCTCCGCGGGCAGTCACGAGAGGAAGGCAGGGCGGGATGCAGGAGGCCGGGCGGGGGTCGGTGCCCGCCAGGGCGCGCTGGAGATCGGTGCGGCCGGTGCTGGGGGAAAACGACCGGCGCCGGCAGAGAGGGAGGCTCGGTGTGTGCCGGCGGCGCTGCCCGGAGTGGGACCTCCCTCTCTCTTTCTCCCCCTCGTCCCCTCCCTCCGCTCCGCTCGGCCGGTGCCCGCGGGTCGGGCGGGAGCGGCCGCGGCGCCGGAGCAGATCTCCGGAGCACTCGGGTTGCCGGCGCCGCTCCCCTCCCTCTCTCCCTCCCCCCTCCGCGTCTGGGGGGCGGGCGGAGGGGCCGGGGCACCCCCCGGGCCGGGGCGGGGTGGAAATTTACCGGGTCCGTCCTTAGCGAGGGAGCGAGCGAGGAGCTCGGCGGGAGGCGGAGGGAGGGCGGGGAGCGGCGGAGCATCGTCTGGCGGGGAACGCGAGGGACCAAATGACTGTGAGGACGGGCGGCAGCCGCCACCGCCGAGACAGGAGCGAGCCGCGGCGCAGCAGCGCCGGCAGCAGCCCCGACCCCCCCGGCTGGCTGGGCGGCGATGGCGGCGGGCGGCCCGCCGGACTCGGGGCGCGGGCGGCGGCGGGGCTGAGCTGAGCCGGGCTGAGCTGAGCCGGGCTGAGCCCGCGGGCGCCGCATGGCGCGGGCCTGATGCCGGAGCGCGGCCCGGAGCCGCGGCGGTGCTGCGGGAGGAGGAGGAGGATGGCGGGGATGCCGTGGAAGTGGCCGCGCACCCGCCTGCCCGTGGGCGCCAGCGCCCTGGGCGTCTTCGTCCTCTGCTGGCTCTACGTCTTCCCCGTGTACCGGCTGCCCGACGAGAAGGAGATCGTGCAGGGGGTGCTGCTGCAGCAGGGCAAGGCTTGGAGGAGGAACCAGACTGCGGTCGCCCTGTTCAGGTACCGCCGTGCGCGGCCCAAGGGCAGCGGGGACGGGCGCGGAGCCGCGGGCAGGCGGGTGGCTGCCGGAGCCCTCCCGGGCGCCCTCCCCGCCCCGCCGAACCCCAAACTTTATTCTTTCCTCCCCGACCCTTTGTTTTTTTCCCTAGCCCTGCCCGCCCCTCTTGCCCAGCAAAACTTTTTTTTGGGTGGCTCCGTTTGCTGCGGGGAGGAGAAGGAGCTCGGCGCGGGGGATGAAGGCTTATTCTCGCAGGGATGCCTTTCCAAGGAGGCTGAGATTTCCGAGGCTTGCGGCGTTGCCCGCACAATAGGATGCTTCTCGCTTCCCGGGTAGCAGCTGCACCGGCAGCCCCTGTGGCTGCTAACAAAGCCCGGGGCTGGGAGCCCGGCTTCCCTCAGAGATGGGCACTGCCAGGTTGCTGCAAGGGAAAGCTCGGCTTGTGGAGCTTCCTGGGATGCGTAAGGGAAGGTCTGCGTGGATGTGCATTCGTGTCAGCATCCCCGCTCCGAGGAGCGCTTGAGAAGCACCGCGCTGGTCCTTGACTCTGCGGTTTATTATAGAAACCACGTGAAAAGGCACCTTTTTTTCTCTTTTCTTTTGACGTGGCTGGGAAATGGCGATAATCCTTGGAGCCCATTTCACCTTACCCAGCTGCACAGGAGAGGAGGAATGTTGCAGTCAGGGTGCCGCTGATAGCGGTGGAGAACCGGGTCTCTGCAGCGGGGAGGATTTTTTTGAATGACCCTGACTTAAAAGCGTGTGCAGTGGGGATTCTCATCTTCGCAAAAATTTCACATGTGTCTGGGTAAAATGCAGACAAGTGGAAGAGAGGCGGATTTCCCTCCTTTTCCCGGAGGGAAGCTGGGGTTTCTCCCTGTCCTCCGAGTAGAAAATTAAAGATCAGAGTAAGTGGTAAACTGGAAAACAAACAAACCCCCACAAAACCCCCTCCCAACCCTCTTTAGTAAAAGCTAGAATGAATCAGATCCAAATTCCAAGGGCCTGATTGCCCCTTTTTATTTTTTCTTTGTTTTTAAGTGGTGTACAGTTTTATGTTCTTCAGTATTTTTTTGAATGTGTTTGCATTATCCATGAACGGGAACTGACATGTGATTGCTTAATGTCTTGCCTTCTGGGATAACAGAAACTTTACAGTTCTTCGAAGCCTGCAGGAGACATACACAATGACAGGTGATAAGCAGGGGTGTGTTAATATTATCTCATTGGGCAGGCCTGGTTGAGGTCCTGTCTTTAATACAGAACTAGCAATAAGATACAGATGACTCACCCTTTTCCTAGAATACCTAACTAACACTGGATACTAGCTTGATCTTCTTGCATACTAATTAATCCTGTTGTGCTACAGATCCCCATTTGGGGGGTAGAAGAATCTAGATTTTTAAAAAATTACCCTGATAGATGATGTAGGAAGGAGTTTGGTCCATTATTTTTCATGTTTGTAAACCAAATATTGTTTGAAGATTCCTAGCGCTGCTGCAGCTTCAGTTTACAAAACAGTTTTAGACCATTTCCACCACATGGTTTAGTAACAAAAACTCTGTGTGGCTCATCAGCTATTCCACTTGCCCATATGTTTCTCCACTCTCCAGGCATAGTGATAATCTCAGAGATACTACTGACGAGAGTCTCATGCAGTAATAGGACCTATTGTTTCTTTTCCATGTCTGTTGATGAGTTGGTGCAGTGCTAAATACAATGAACTTTAAATCAATCTCCTTCAAAAAATCAAGTTTTTAAGAGAAATAGTACGCTGGATATATGTAGTGAGCATAGTATACTATATGATTCAAATAGTTGTGACATAGAACTCTTTTTGCTGCATAAATTTGCTTCTTATCATGATAGAATGTTTTGAAATTGAAGTCCATGTCGGGCAGGCTGTTGTATATTTGAGGTGATTAACAGAAACACTGTCCCAGTCTTTGCTCTGGTCCTGCTGTCTCTAAGCAAGCTTGCTGTAAAACCTCCAAATTTCACTTTCTGCTGGAAACTGCCTGTGAATGCGAGTCTCTGTTTGAATAGGAAAGGAGGAATAGAGCTTCACAGAAAACCTGTGTGTAGACTTTCAAGCAGTGTGAGTTTCCATCTAATACTAATGGGCTTTAAAGTATTGTTAATATATTATTTAAGAACAGTGTCAATTGCCATTCTCCCTAGTCTCCTGCCAGATTTTAGTTACCAAACAATTTTAGTTTTACTCAGTTTTTGAAGCATAAATTTTGAATTAGTCTGTGCTAAAAATCTATATGCAAACTTTCACATTACTGCTTGGTGTAATGTGGTGGCATTTGTGGTATTGTACAGGTGTTTGAATAGCCAGGTCCTTGCTACACAGAGCCAACACCTGATGGGTTTCTGCTCCTTTGTGGACTCCCACTGTTGAAGTAGATAAGTATTGTTGAAGTAGGTGCTGGGTAATTAACTTGATCAAATAATATTTTTCAAACCTCAGAAGGGCTACTACCTCTTTGCCTTCTTTACCTGGATCAAAGACAACATCACTAAGTGACTTAGCAAGGTCAATGAAAGCATCTGGGTAATTTGGAGTAGTTTGAGTTGAATTCTGGCAACCAAGTGCCAGTAGCTCCTCAGTCTTCACTGCCCCTTCCTCCTCTCTGAACAGCCAGAAACCTTATGTAAAGATCAGATCCATGTAAACTCTTGCTAATGCAAGAACACAGACTGTCCTGGTCCTTGTAGAATGATTCAATGAGGGTTTTGTGTTCAAATAAGGATTCCCAGAGCTGGTTTTCAAATAAAAATACTGTGTAAATATCCATGGATTGCTGTTTTGAAGTGTGTGGTGTCTTGCTGCAGCCGTGACGAAGGATAGTTTGTGGGAGTAAAAAAATGAGCAGGATTAAGCCTTTGATTGTGTGTGACTCTGTGTTTAAAGCATGCTGTCAGCCTGGACTCTGCATACATGGCTTTTGTGAGAGGTCCTGGCATGCTGGATGGGGCCCTGCACAACCTGGTTCAGTGGAAGCTGCCCCTGCCCATGGCTGTGGGGTTGCTTGATGATTGTTAAGAGAATGAGATGATTGTTAAGGTCCCTTACACCCCAAACCATTCTGTGATTCTACAAGTGCCCCGAGTCGTGCTGCCAGCAGTGCAGTGGGTGTCAGCACAAGAGCTGCCTGGGTTCTTCGATGGAAGGACATGTGTTGAAAAGCCTGAAGATATAACTGAAGTTGATTAAAAGAGCTATTGGTCCAAATCCTTTCCTCAGCTGAACGTAGATTCCTTTAAAGTCCTCAAATTCAGGGCATTTGCCGTTGTGAGCACAGCCTACCAGACATCTATCACTGGTGGCATCCTTTAAATTTCAACTCAGGAGTGGCCAAGGGTAGTCAAACTCTCCGCTATGGAAACATCTCCTGTCTGACAAATGCTGAATAGTCTGTCAGTCAGATGGTAAACTGCTTGAACTACAAAGTGGTCAGGATAGGAATGAGATTGTCATTACAGTCACTAATGGCTAACATGGCTAATTTGCCTACAATATAATGGCTTGTCATCCTCTGAGGTGGTTAATGTTATTGCGCCCTAATTGTTTTTACAGATTGCTCAGGGTTTTTTTTAAGAGCCTGGGGCTGCTGAAATTACTTAGGCAAAAATGTTGTAAATTGTTGTTTGTTATTTGTTGAAGTAAATGACATACAATAATACTTTTAGGATGGTTTTATTTAAAATGTTGCAATTCATTAAAGGCATAGCTGGATCTTTTCGTCTGCCTCACGAACTCCATACAACCACAAATCCCAAGCGCTGTGTGTTTATATGACACTTTTGATTGGGGTGGACCTCCTCTGAGGAGTGAATTTGCTTGGGGCCAATGGGATTTTGACTGTCAGGAGTCCCACCGAAGGGGTTCGATGGTGATTAGTGACTTAGAGGTTCTTCAGGAAGAGACAGAAAAATCTCTGCATGGCAACAGAAAGGCTTCCCTTGAGATTCAGATTGTGATCTTGCTTCTGCTGCATCAATTTTGTGTGATGCTGAAAGATCACCCAGGGTTTATTCTGGGGGTGACTTGGTTAAGCTGGTGGAAAATGTCCCCTGTGAACTCACTGTTCGTGACCTGCCTCCAATCCAAAGCCTCTGCTACAACTTGACTCTGCTCTTCTGTGATGTCCCCTCTGTCCCTCGAGCCAAGCAGGCCATGCTCACCTTGGCAGGTGGCTTCTTCCCTCCTTTTCATCAGGTTTGGCCTCTTGTCCATTTTCCGCGGACAGAGTGGAGAAGCTACTGCCCTGAAATCACACAACGGGGTCAGTGGCCAAACTGGACGGAATATCTGGACATGGCAGGCTCTCTGGTGCTTGCAGTGTGGATGTGGACAGACTGTGTGGAGCCTTTCGTGTGCCTTGCAAAAAGAATGCTCTGTTGTCTCTGTGTGCTGTGCCAGAGGGGCTCTTCCGACTGTAACCTTCCCTGCCAGCTGCTCTCTGCCAGCTGTTCCTTGTCTGTACCTTGAGTGCAATCACAACGGGCGCCGAGGAGCATCCCCGTGTGCAAATCCTTTTTCATTCTGGATTGTGTTAACGCAGAATTCCAGGTCACTTCCCTGTCTGGGTGAGACAAATGGTACTGCCTAGTCAGCAAGGGTTTCTTTAGTTCAGATGGCTTTTTTTATCTTCTCTTTTGATGTGTTGGAATCCTCAGAGGAGTATTTCAAGACAAATCTGAGATTAAACTTCATGTTGCTCAAGTGAGAGTTAGAGAAGAGTTTTGTGCTGCTTAAACAGCTTTATCAGATGCGGAATTATTCCTGCTTCTCTCACTGAGACATGTGAAGGATGGACTTAGGAGTAGAGCTGGGAGGTGCTGGCTTAGGTTAGTTCTGCCTCTGTGGCCTGTTATGCCCTGCCCTGAAACTAGTGGATATGCTCATCTGTTGTGCATTGGCAGTGGCAGAATCCAGCTGATTTTTCTCTCCTGAGTAGGTGTTGCTATTACCTGGCTGTGTTTTTATCAA